AGTTTTTTATTATAGAATTAATTAAAATATTTTTTATATTAAATAGGTGGTCATCACTAAAAAAATCATCGTGATATCCTTGATGAATTACAATATATCAAGTTATTAATCGATTAAAAATCAAGTTTAGTGGTACTCTTTAAATCATTAATTTTTTTTATGTAATTATCGTTATAACTAGAATCTCATTTAAATTTTGATAATAAATATATTTTTTTGTATTCCCAATGGATGCATTATATGAACGAAGAAATGAAGGTTTGCATCCCACTTGACTTGAGTGATCCATTGGACGTTTGGCTTGCGATTGTGCCTCTTATTTGTTATGCTATTGTGGAGTGGAATCTGAGTGATTATGTGCTTCGCCAATTTAGTTTCACATAGTTTATTCCTGAAGCACACATGAATCTTGAAAATATGTATATCTTGATAGACGAGACAAGCATGATATTGATTGAAGGGAGCAACACAACGGGTGGATCGTAGAGAACTGACATGAACACATTTTCATTCGCCGTTATATTTCAGAAACTTGTTTCACGGTTTCACCTAGATATCTTTCATGGTAAAATGAATACAGGAAGTTGTTCATACTTTCGTAGGACCATGAGACGAGTCTATTCATTATCGTCAAGAAAAAGTCCACCGACACAATATCATTAACCCCTGACTAATCGTTGATGAAGAACAAACACTTTCGACCCGTATTCAACAGCACCACCGAAAACACCACAACATCCACCATTCATATCGATTTTGAACTCGTCAGGTTACATCCTATGTAACCCCTTTTACTCGACCTATAGATAATGGGTCAAATCCAGAAGGTCCACTTAACTTGTCTCTCAAAGTAAACCCAAAATTAAGTAAACGTATTAAAAATACCCACGTATTTATTGTTTTCAGGAATTTGCATTGGCCGAAATAATACTATAAATAATAAAATAAATCATTAAATGCCAACGTAAACCAAAGCCAAGACTAATAATACCCAATGTCTCATAACACAAAATTAATAAGATTAAGGGAAACCGAATAAAATCCATATTGACAATAAAAGTGTTTCTGAAATTAAATGACGTAATCCTCCAAATATAGGATCGCCTAAATTTGAGAATCTAAATGAGAACTAAAATGGTGTTAGCTACTAAGCTTTAGTGTGTCTATGAAGTGCAAGCACTCATAAGTCTCAAACCACAAGTCAAAAATACAATTCATATCAACTGTATTGTTCATGAACCGATTACTATGGAAATGAAAATGCACTCATATGCCTTACGTTGTCTGAAAAGTAGGTTTTCCAGAACCACTCTCTACTAACATCTTTTGAAGTGGGGTCCACTTTGAAGGAGGCCACTAAATCTGAAGTGAAATTCATCCCATCGGGTGAATACATTGAACTTCTTCTATTAAACCCAACCCAGTATGACATAATAACATAACGTGTATTTGATTTCCAATTTGATTTGAATGTAAAAGAATTACATAATCACATAATTCGAATGCATAACTTAAATTATGAATCAAATAAATCATAATACGTCACACAATGTTTTTCAAATTGCATTTAATACAATCAATTTCATAGAACAATCATGGTTTGAATTCAAATACCAACCAATCAATCAACACATAAATAGTTATAACACCAAATAGAGACACATTTCAATAAAATAACTCTAATGATGATCGTGAGACTCCCGCAATTAACTCAAATAGTGGGTCAAAACGAATCATTTCCTATGAAATAATTTAATAAAAATTATTACTTTAATAAACGTCAAAGCCAAATGAACTAAAAAATCCAAACTAACACTCACAATCCATTATGGTAACACAGGTCATTCAAAATGAGCAGATAACGACGGAGGGGGCGATAATTCCGATTCCGGCGTGATATCTCTTGCAAAAATTTTGTTGTCCAATTTAAATTCCAATACATAATTTTCAGATTAAAAAACAATTTAATAACGATAATAAAAAATTTCAATTCAAATCAAGAATCGACCGTGGGGATTTTAACATGATTAAGGGGCAATTGGTTTGAACGAATGGGACTGTCGATCAACTACCCACACGATCGATTGGCGGTAGCCACGACCAATGATGGTGACCACACAGCTACACGGTGAGGGGCAATGGTGACGGAAGGGGCGACAGTTTGTTACAATGCTGTTCGAGGTGTTATTCGGACCGAAATCCGATCGATTAGGCCTTACCCAAGCCAGCCCCAACGACGACGACCCAAGAACGGTCAATGTCGACTCACACTCGACTGCAATTCTCGTGGGAGTAACCAAAGCTCTCGATTGAGAATGGTCCCAAAAAATTCGATGATGGAGCAAGGGACGACGCGACGACCAACCGACCAAAACTAGCAACCTTACCTAGGCAAACGGACGACTATGCGACGATGTGGAGAAGATGAGCAGCGTGAGGGTTTTATGAACATGGAAAAAAAGAAAATGGGAGAGGATGTCACACGATGATATAAAGAATGTGGGGTAGGGTTAACAAAATGGGTTAATTGTAGCCCTAGTCCCTTAAGTTTCTAGGGTTTTCAAAACTGACTTAAACATTTACTTTTCTTATGATTTAGTCAATAATCACAAATTAGAGATTTAAAGATTTTCCCCTAAATTTTAAGATTTTTGAATTTAGGGCTAAATTCAAGTGTTACAATTCTTCCCTCTAAAAATATTGACCTAAAATTTACCCAAAGAAAAAATATGCTAATACTAAGCCTTCATGATAACTTCAATCTCCCACATGGACTCATCATAGCCTCAGTTAAGCCACAAGACCTTGACCATCTTAACAGTCTTCCTCCGAAGAACATTCTCATCCCTATTGAGTATTTTAACTAACCCTTATTTAACCTCAAAATTGGGATAGATCTTTGCCCTATACACAAGTATTACATGAGATGGGACGGGCTCTATAATGTCTCAATACGAAAACATGGAAAATATAATGAATATATGCAAGCTCGGGTGGTAACTCAAGCTGATAGATAACTAGTCCAACACGACGAATAATCCGATAAGGCTCCATAAAACGAGGACTCAACTTGACTTTTCGACCAAAAACAAAGTATCTTCCTCCATGGAGAATCACCCAATGCATACTCAATGTCTTGACGCTTCAGATCAACGTAGGACTTCAGTCTATCAAAGCAACCTTAAATCTATCTCGAATCATATTGACAGTCTGCTCTGCCTTAAAAACTAAATCCAGACCCAATAACTTATGTTTGATAAGCTCACTCCACCCAATTGTAGTTCGAAAATTATGTCCATACATAGCTTCATACAGAGTCATCTTAATACCACTTGAAAACTGTTATTGTAAAAACTCACCCAATTGCCTTTATAATCAACAAAACAACCACTCAACATGTCCTTTAAAATCTGAATCACCCGCTTAGACTGTCCATCAGTCTACGGATGATAAAAAGTACTAAAATTTAATCGAGTACCAAGGGCATTATGTAGAGACTTTTAGAACTTCGAGATAAGCCTCAAATCACAATCTGAAATGATGGATAACAGTAACCCATGCAAACAAACAATCTCAGTAATATAAAGTCGAGCCAAATTATTCAGAGAATAATCGACTTGAATCGAAATACATGAAAGGATTTGATAAGCCAGTTGACGGTAACCCAAATAGAATCTTTCTTTGATGGAGTCAAAGGAAGACCTAAAACAAAGTTCTTAATCATACGCTCTCATTTCCACTGTGGAATCTTGATATACTGTAACAACCCAGATAGATGTTGATGTTTTGTCTTTACTTTCTCTCATGTCAAACATTTAGGCACATAATCGATGATATCCCTCTTAAGATCATTCCACCAATATTTCTTCCGGATATTCCTATACATTTTAGGCAATGAATGGGGTTAACGAGGTGTTGAAAAATGGGAAAAAATAAATTTTTAATGTAATGGGGTCAAATTTTAAAGTAGATTTTATTTGTTCAAAATCTATGCTATCATTTATTAGGAGATTTAACAGTTGGGTGATCAATTGAATAATTATAATTAGTATGATTAAAAATATTTCTCTTAATAATTATATATATATATATATATAATATTTTTTAAAAGTTTAATGGGCCTTATTAAAAATTGTTTCCACCAACATGAAGGTGGGGTCTTATAAGGGAAAAAGAGTGCAAAAAAAACCTATTAATCACGATGGAAATAAATCGTTCTTCACATCTTGTATGATAAATGCGGGACAATCCAAACCAAAATAATAATAAGAAACATTGGAACGGAGAACTTTTGTAGCAAAAGAATGAGCAACACCATTTGCAGTACGATTTACATAAACTACTGAGCAATGTATAAAATTAGTACAATTTAAATTAATTGAATCCATGTGAACCCCTAGCGTCAAATCATCTGAGTCCTCCCTGTTGAATTTGTTGACCACGACCGAGGAATCAAGTTCAAAGATTACATGCTGCCACCCTTCCTCAAGTGCTAGATTAACCTGCTGTTTGTCCATGATCTTATGGCAGTTTTTCTAATGTGTTGAAAAATATTGTCATAGAAATTATTTTTTCAAGTAAGATATTTTTTTGCCGTGTTTATTGAAAATAATTTGAAATATATGGCTATATTTAAAATTTATTTAGAATATATGGGGTCTTCTTCATATTTTTTACCTGCACAATAATAAGGATAACTCACCTTGTGGGCCAAACATTTTCTAACAAGACACCGTGTGATTCAAGCGACTTCTAATGATTTGATATTATAGCAAAAATCTTAGTTGAAAAAATAATAATTTTCTTTGCACCTTACATGACCAAATTTTTTTCCAGCATATTATTGGTGTAATTTTATGTATAATTTATATAGCGGTGAAATCAAGATATTTTTATCAAAATAAAAATTTTAAAAATGAGTCACGTGTTAATAGATTACCCTTAGCACAAAAGAATCAAATAAGTAGGACTTAAATTACAGTGTTGCAATGCATCAAGAATTGGCATAAAGATCCCAACATCAACATTAAATATAAAAGTATCATTTACACTTTCTGATTGGTCAAGGATCTTCCAAATGAATCCACCCTTCCTTTATTACTAAATAAGGAAAATATTAGCTTTTTAAACCCAAAAAAGGCTGGGAACAAAGGAATAAACTAAAAGTGACAATGTAGCAGAAATCAAATTAACAGGTAATCTAAACTTGTTCAAGTGGTATTTCCAGATTTCTTCATGGTTTCATCAACTGTTGTTTAATGTAATCAAGGACTTCATCCACATTGACGGTCCATGCGACGGATATCGGAGAATAGCCGGTCCACGGATTGCTACCGATCCATCTGCAGCAGAAGTTTATGGCGCATTAACATTAGTAAACAATAAACAGCACAAATCTAATTGAATTCAATGATAATAAATACTTCTTCAATCCTTGATCCAACAATGTAAGCCCCTTGCATATGCCCTGCGTCTCAACCCTCACCACACCCTTCTTGTATGTGAAGAGATCCGGCCGAACCAGAGCCACAAAACTAACGGGATCGTGCAGGAAAATCCCTGCCACCAAAAATTTTCTTGTGTCAGAATGTGAGAGTAAAAGAAAATGAAATCTACTTCACATTCACAAAAGATTTTACCATATACGCCATCGGACTTCACATGCCAGTTTCTGTAGAATTCGCACATCTCGCTTAGCAGCTGAGCATGCTTCCCCTTCGATTGCTTCAGTTCGAGGAGGTCCTCGTCTGATACATAAAAAGATGATGGTGTTTTTCAAGATGCACAAGAAGCTTGTCTGCTAAGAAAAATGGCAGTTAAGTTTGTACCTGTCATTTTGACTTGGGTAGTAATATTTAAGCCGACAACAATGATATTTGCTCCCGACGTAAACACGATATCAGCAGCTTCGGGGTCTCCATAAATCTGTAGTCAGACAAATGATTTCAGAGCGGTTCCTTAATGAACTCAATATTTGGAGGTTCTAGTGCTTACATTCGCCTCAGCGGCAGGATTCACATTTCCTAATGCAAAGAATGAGCCACCAAGTACAACTATGTTTTTCACCTTGCTGGCAAAGGAAGAGTCCCTTTTGATTGCCTGAACATAGTAAAAAAAAAAGGGTGGGGACCAAGTTGCGAAACCTATTATCGATGAAAAAACGGAGGAAACTGGCGAGAGAGTATCAAGGACTTACCAATGCCAAATTGGTCAGTGGTCCAAGAGCAAGTACAGATACCTCACCGGGATATTCAGACACCTTTTCAACTAAAAATTCAGAGGCAGTATTATCCAATTTCTTCGTTTTCGGATGAGGTAGATATATATGCCCCATTCCATCAGAGCCATGAACAAAGTCGGCGACCGATGGCCTCCCACCCTTTTCCATTGAAACCACGGTTAGGCTACGGTAGATAAACGATATAAAACGATATAACGGTACCCAAACAAAGGAGAATGTAAAGCAAAATAATCTTCAAGTCAATTCAACTGGCACTACCTAGGTGATTTGCCTCATGTTACATACACACAGAACTATGCAAGAAAATAAAATGTAGGGGGAAAAAAAGGTTCCAAACATCATACACATGATGGGTAGAAAATTTCAAATACTAGAAACAGGAACAAGTTAACAATGGCAGTGAGGTCCATTTCTTGAATGCAAAAAGAAGTATTTTCTATGCGATTATTGTCCGATTTGAGGGAATGGATGCATTACCTTAAGAGGCTCCGGGCTGCCTTCTGCTACGGGAACACCAGGATTCCCTGCAATTTCACACTATGAAGAAAAAAGGATCAAAACAGGAACATACTCCAAATGCATATGAAGAAAAGGCTAGAAGATTTTCGAACCGAAAAGCAAGCAGTTACCAGAAGTAAGGCATTACGAGTGGCATCTTTGGTATGGAGATTCCCAAATACAGTCGTCAAACCTAAGATCTCATACTCTGGATTCTGGAATGCCATTAAGATTGCGATGCTATCATCTGTTAATAAAAAAAGCAACACGTTCTCATTTCAAGAAAGTAAAGAAATCTCAAACAAAATCATTAAACATATCTAATCAAATATATAGATCTAATCATATCCCCCTATGGTTGAATACGGTTTCGCCATGACAATCTATTCTTATACCTCTTAGTTCAAGAATTATGCATCCAGTTTAAGCAACGTTAAAAACTGATTAATTTCTTTCTTGACAACGTAAACAAAAGGAGGAGATATACGACGCCAATCATGTTCGTCAATTTTCATAAGCTTATCCGCAAAATAAAACTCCAAGGACAGAGATAAAAACAAGAGAAGATTCAGATTAATTCCAATTTGATTATGATTCTAGTTTAAGCAACTAAACATGCTAAATTCCAAATAAAAAGCAAGACAAAAAGGAGAAAAACTAACCAATCCCCGGATCGGTGTCGATAATGAGCTTGTTTCTGTTGGCACTTGAGACAAAAACGCCGTGGCTTCCGCCGTTAACGACAATCTCATCGTGAGAATCTTTCTTTAATTCACAATCCATATTCAACGGCATAATTTTCCAGAAAACTAAAGAAAAAATTAAACAAAGCGAAGGAAAGTATAATCGAATAATATAAGGCTTAATGAATATGGAGGGCCGCTCCGCTGCTCCTAACAGAGTCGCCGAAGAAGAAGAAGAAAACCAAAGACGTATTTTGCTTGTTTTGGCGATGTCTTCTTCATCCTTTAAATACTAGTTCTCCGGGTTAGCTGAGGATGATGACGTCAGCATCGTTAAAAGTAAACCTCGAATGGGTTGACACGTGGTTAAATTTGATTGGACTGTCTTTGATGCCAGTATCGTATTGGGATCAAACCATGAATATAAAACGTGTAGAACTTTGGGGTCGAGTTCGGATTCTTTGCTAATTCAAATAAGCACGGTAGGACTTTTGACCTACGTCATATTTTATCTTTAATGCTCCTTATCATAACTAAAAGGTTTAAATGTACCATTGCCCCCTAAACTATACCATTTGTATGAGTTGCCCCCTAAAGTTTGATTGTTACCTCAGTTGTCTCAATCTGCAAAGTCCCTTAAAAAAATACGTGGATAAATTACGTATTTAGTCAATTAATTATTCGTGTAGTTCTATTTTGGTTAGTCAACTATTTTTGTTTACAAAATCATCACTAAACTTAAGTTTTTCTTTTGTTTTGGTCACCCAAATTTGATTATATTTATTTTTTAAATTTACAATATATAATAATTCATTTATATCACATAATTTTTTTACTCAGCACATAAATTTAATGTATAATATAAATAATATTATAACGTAAATAATATACAACATATTTAGTTATTTATATTTAAAATTTTAATAAAAGATTTATTAAATGTTAAATGGATAATTTTGTAAAAGCTTATAGCAATCTTGAACGACTATACGAATCGATCAGATTAATTCTGATAAAGGCAAGAATGACGTACACATAAATATAAATCTCAAACTACATACCATTGTCCCAGTACCAGTTTGACCATAGGCAAAAATACATGCATTGTCCCCGTAAGTGCAGATATGAGGACTGGTTCAACCTCATCCAAAACATCTTTTACAAGGATTTCAAGAACGATCAATTAAATTCTCTAAACATGTCACTGAATTCAGCGAAAATTAGAGTAAAATCTGACACTAACCATTATCAGTATCTTGATGGAGAACCTTACCAAATCCAAACTCTTTTTCGATTCCCACATGATCTAATGACAACCCAGTTGATTTCACTCGAAACAGATTTTAGGGTTCTCTTGTCTATCCAAAGGAAAGGCTTAACTCGACAGAACACTCTAATGGTGTCTACAAATTTGTTGCCAATCCTTAAAAGCAAGTTTTTAAGACAATGATGACTGAATACTTGAATCTATACCTGGCAAGTTTGACCCGAACCCCATTACATGAACCTATTTATCCGAACCGAGACTCGAACATGATGACCTAAATTTGACTTGAAACTCGAAAAAACCGAATTAAACCGAAATCGACCCGAATTTTAGTCAAACCGAAAGTAAACAGAACCAAAAGTAACACGAATCGAACCGAAACGACCCAAATTTAACAAAACCAAAAATAACCCGAACTGAAAGTAACCAAAACCGAAAACAACCCAAACCAAAAGCAAACGAACTGAAAATAACTTGAATAGAAATTAACCCGAATTTAATTTGCCCAAACTCAATCTTTTTTACAAAAATATATCAATAATTCGATATATATTTGATTTGATTTGATTTATACCCAACTCAACCTGAATTGACATGAAGATCCAAAGTTGACCCAAACCGAAAATAATTGATCGGATATTAACCTAACCCGAAAATGAACCTATCTGATTTGACCTGACCTGAGATCAACTAATCTAATATGACCCGATACCCAAATCGACCCGACTTACTATAAACCCGAATAAAATCAAAACCCAAAATGACTCGACCCTACCTGACTTACTATAGACCCGAATAAAATCAAAACTCAAAATGACCAGATCCGACCCAAACCTAACCCCAATTAAGTATAAATCGAAATGACTAGAACCGAACCCGATCCGAATGACCCGTTTATCACCTCTACTTGAATCATTCTTTTGTATCATACGGTTCTGTTAGATGTTTTCAGGGGAAAATTTTCTTTGATGGGTCCAATAATGGTTTGGTATCTAATGGTATTCTTTATTGAAGTTGCAATATGGATTTTTATGACTTGCTGAGAAAGTAAAATTTTTTGGAGGCAAGTGATGTGCATGGACGGTCTAATATGTATCATGGGGATGTGTGTTAAAAGCATTCTATGAGAAATTGAAAATATAAACACTTGGTAGAACTCTTGGTGGGTGAAGCATAAAATTTTATCTAAAATGAATAATTTAACATTTAATATTTCTTTTATTGAAATTTTAAATTCAGATAACTAAATACGTTGTATATTATTTACGTTATAATATCATTTATTATTATGCATTAAATTTATGTGTTGAGTAAAAAATGTGATATAAATGAATTTTTATATTTTTTAAATTTAAAAAATAAATCAAATCGAATTTGGGTGACCAAGACGAAAGAAAAATTTAAGTTTAGTGATGATTTTGAAAACAAAAATAGTTGGCTGACCAAAATATAACGACATGAATAGCTGAGTGACTAAATATATATTTTACCCATGTATTTTTAAACTGAGTTACTAGATCAAAGCAACTGAGGTAACACTTTAAACTTTAGGGGAAAAAGTTTCGGAAAATACTTCATGGGGCAACTCTGTACAAATAGTATAGTTTAGATAACAATGTTGCATTTAATCCTAAGTAAAATTATAATTAATGTTTAATCTAATATTTTAAAAATAAAATTACTTTATCATGACTCAAACTTCTAAAATAAATATTAAATATAAACAAAATTATAAAACTAGTATTAGTACTCTTTTAATATATAATAAATAAATAATTCAAATAAAGATTAAATAATTTGACCTGAAATTATATTTTGTTAACATTTTAATATCTAAAAATATAATTCAGTTTGACTTGTAAATTTTCTTTATGTAAAACATGTTATTTCATTATATTTTTTTCGTTACAAAAAAATACGTAACACTCATATAATTTTTATAAATTTAAATTTAAATATATGAATTATTTATAAATATATTTTAATGTTTTTAAAAGGCTAAATCAATTTAATTTTTAATTCTTTAAAAGAGAAAACTAAATTGTAAACATGGAAAAAAAAATTTAGACTGTAAAATGAGAAAGAGAATATACACTTCAAAAGTAAAATTTTCCATAGATCTTTACTTTTTTATTATTTCCAATGTTTAATTTATATACAATATATAATAAATTAAACCAAATATCATTTGATCTAGTAGGACGAGACACTAGATTCTTTAAGCAACGTCAAAGGTTCGAATTCTGGTGATTGTGAATGGAGCAAACTAGGTAGGGAGGGTCATCCTTATCTCTGCAGTATCTGATCCGGTTTTGTTGAAATATATCGGATACAGGTGGTTATACCAAAATATTAAAATACATGCAAACATATTGAATAATGCTTAGATGGATGTTGGTGTAATTTGCAACTACTATTAAATTGATTCTTAATAAATATTTATTATCTAAATAATATTATATTTATTCTATCATGAATTATTATTTTCTGCAAATTTAATTTTCCAATTTTTATATTTTAATATTTTATATTATTTTTTATATATTTAAAATTATAAAAATAATGTAAATTAATTTATTAAAAATATAATACTGTGTTGCACGCACATGAGAGAAAGATAATTAAAAAATATTTTAGAAAACGGTGATTAAAAAAAATTAAATAGACAAGTTAGAAAAACGTGTTGGATTCATTCATTATCGGATATCCTAATCAGCCACGAGTTAGTAGTGTAATCAGTTATTTACAGCTTAATAAGTTTGAAAATTTAAATATTAAAAAATTATGTATTAAATTGAAGTTATATATTTAGTCGGTATCTTATCTAAACTTAAATATTAAATATAATCATATTATTTTTTAATTAATCACTTGTATTTGATATATTGACTTACTAATCCAAATCAGGTACTGTAGAGGAATGACGATCTTTTCAATCCAGTTTGCTCCATTCGCAAACTTTAGGATTCGAAAACCTGACTTTGCTTAAGCAATCTAGTGTCTCATTCTACTAGTCAAACTTTTTGCTAGTATAATCACTTTAGGATTGATTACAATCTAATTGAATGTTAGTTGAGTAAACTATACATTTAGTAATTGAATTTTACTCTTCCTATCTCACTCATCGTACTTTTAGTTTTTTCAATTTACTCACTGAACTTTATAGATTGAATATTTTTTGTCATCCACTGTTAAATAATTAACGACATTATGACATGGTCGTATTTAAATCAAAATGAATTCATTTTAGTCTAGATTTTTTTTTCTTTCACGAATTCGAAATGATGTGTTTTGGTTCAATTTACTCACTGAACTTTAGATTGAATATTTTTTGTCATCCACTGTTAAATAATTAACGACATTATGACATGGTCGTATTTAAATCAAAATGAATTCATTTTAGTCTAGATTTTTTTTTCTTTCACGAATTCGAAATGATGTTGTTTTGGTGTAAGTTGTCATGTCTTAATGTCATTTAATTATTTAACGGCGAAGTGAAAAAAATTCTATCTATAAAGTTCAATGAATAAATTGAAAAAATTGAAAGTATAATGAGTGAAATAAGAGAGAGAGTAAATTTTAATTACCAAACATGTAATTTACCCATGTTAGTTTTATACCTGGATATCAAAATGAAGTTGCAGACTGGATCAAGGATTTAAATAACGTTATTGAAATAACAGTTGTTATATAGTGGTAAAGGTGTCGTTTAAAATCGTTATTTCACAATCGTAATATCCGTAATGATCATAATAACATCCGTTATTACCGTAATTGTAATAAACAAAATGCAACTAAAATGCGGTTACAATCGTAATTTAAATCTCAGGAGTGGATGACTCACATGGAGATAAGAGCTGAAACATCAAGCTATTATTTTTGGGTGCTTTGTATATTATTTGAGTGAGGATCATTTGTTTGTATATCAAGTGTAGAGGGGTGTAGAGTTGAGTATTTGTTCGTTTGAAACTTCCAAAGGTTGATTGATTATTCCTCTAGTATAGCTTTTGCTTGGATGTTGGTATTCGGTCCTTCTATGTTTTGATTAATGAAGGAATTATAATTGGCTGCATGTGCGAGGGGCCAGTGATTGGTATTTTTCAGTAGTATGATGTTGGACTGTTGAACATTAGTAGTGATTCATGGTTTAATGTTCTAGTTGTCTCTCGTTTTTTTTTCGGTGTTAGTGAGAGAACTAGTGTCATTGATGATGTCTGTAATAAATAGTTAGATCGATTATCGACGAGCATGATATACTCTTTTTCCTCTAAATATGTCAGGGAGGTTTTTTAACGAGACTCATGTTTTTCGTCTTACTTTATATGTTATATTTTCGATTAATAACATACAAAACTACACTTTTCAAACAAACAAACAAGTCCTAATGTGCAAGAGAAAAAAATTTACTGTTTTAATGTGAATGAGTGAGTTTTATTCGTGTTTATAAATTTATTATAAATATTTTAATAATCCAACAATTAAATTTTATGTTTTGATCTACGTAAATTACGAATGTCAAGTTTAAAGTAATTGAAAATATATATCGATTTGTCAACGAGTGTTGGTACAAGTGGTTGGAATTCAGGAACTTGAGTTTGTAAGGTTAAGTTTGAATCCTACTACCGTCATTCTTTGTGGGCAATTTGTAAATTCCTATGTAAATATCAATTGGGTCTTAGATATGTCCTGACCCTGGATTGAGGGAGCTACCATTGACCTAATTTAAAAAAAAGGAAAATATATAAAGATTTACTTTATGTAAAAGAAATTAATTATTAAGTATATTTTAATAAATATATTAATTTAAATTACTGTGATAAATATGCTAAATTAATTTAAAGAATTTGAGCTTATAAAGCCAAGTTTGAATTATACAACCGTTATTCTCGGTGGGCACTTTGTAAATTCATATATAAATCTCGATTGAGTCTTATGTATGCCCTGACCCTGTATTGGGGGAACCACCACTTACCTAAATTTTTAAATATATATATATATATATATATATATATATAAAGATTTACTTTATGTAAAAGAAATTAGTTATTAAGTATATTTTAATAAATATATTAATTTAAATTAATGTGATAAATATGATAAATTAATTTAAAATTTTATATTTATAATAAATATAATTATATTTAAAAATTTAATTATTAAAATATTAATAGTATAAAAAACATATGAAAGTGTGAATTGTTTCAAATTTCAGTTTCGTCCGTGTACATGTTTTTTTTTTTTTTTTAGTTTCAACGTTTTTGTTTATTCATTTCCAAAATAATAATGTATTCCAATTAGAGTTAAATTAAGTTAAATAATAAATTAGATGTAGATGTAGATGAGTGCATTTGTACTATATTTATGTTTTCAAAAATTGATCACATAATATTATTTTATATATAATCAATAAATAAATAAATTATAAAAAACAATTTTTCTTATCATTTTAAAATTATAAATTATCAAATCCATATTCAAATCATTTAATATTTTATATATAATCATTCATTAAAGAATTTTAAAATTATTTTTCTAAATAAAATATTCTTAATTAATCAAAAATTTACATTTAGTGTTTTATAAATTATGATAAATTTAAGATGTATAATTAATAGCATTTAAATTTTATTTTCTCATCCAAAACGTAAAGTAGAGAGGTGAAAAGTAATTTAAGTATGGGTAAAGTACACAAATGGTCCATAGACTATATGGCACTACTTTGTTGAGTTCTCCAACTATTAAAAGTTATAAAATGATCACCCGATTAATCATCTGTTCCAAGCTCGACATTTTTGTTTATAAATTTAACAGCCGTCTGAGCTGGATGTTAACTTGCTCGCTGGGATATGATAAATCATATTTTAATGATGTCAATTGGCACCATCGTTGCTTTCAAACACTGACTCGATGGCATAATATAAACGAAGAGTTGATCCACAAAATACAACTCAAACGGTCATGAGATAATATTTTTTTCATGTCTCAATCAACAAATTAACGTCTAGCTCAAACAGTCGCTAATTTTCAACAAAAAAGGAGTTTGAAACATATGACAGTCGGGTAACAGTTTTATAACTTTTAATAGTCGGAAACTTAAAAAAGCAACACATTATAATCAAAGAACCATTTTATAACTTTTAAACAAAAAACCCTATAATCAAAGAACCATTTTATAACTTTTAAACAAAAAACCCTATAATCAAAGAATCATTTTGTAATTTTTAATAGCCAGAAGACTCAATAAAATAGTACAATGTAATTGAGGATAATTAGTGTAATTTATATATACTTATTTGAAAAAGAGTGAGATGACATAAGTGTGTGGGTATAAATGGAAGCACATAGCATGGGAGTATGTCAAAGAGAATGTCAACAAATAGGATTGGACCCACGTTGAAGCACATGGCAATGTATTATTGGATAGCATGTATTTATAAAGTAAGCAAATGGTTTGGTCTTATAGTTACGGGATTGTCTCAGGAAAGGCGGGTTAATATACGGCTAATATACATCATTACCGGATACATTAAAATGTATTTAATAAATTCGGTTTAGCGGTACCTATTATGTTGACAACTAATAATGTTTTAGGTAGAAAATATGAAAAACTATTAAAAAATTTGGTAACCGGTAAACTTTGGTTATCGGTAAGTATCTATCCTTTTTATAAAAATGTCCATACGTTTAACATATCAAGTAAATTTTACCGGTTTTGTCATAATGAATCTGGTTTTGTCATATTTTTACCTGTTATATTGTAAATTATCTATCCTTTTTATAAAAGTGTCCATACTTATTTCACTGTGAAAATATATTTATTATTATCTTTAGTTAATATTGTTAAATTTAAAATCTAAATAATACTTTATAAAATATCAAAACAATCAAATAATTTTTTTGTGTAAATGAAATTATTAAATTAATATTGTAGGTGGAAAACATGAAACACTATTAAAAAAATTGAAACATAAATTACATAACTTTAAAAAAAGTATATATCATTTTTAAAGTGTCCATACTTATTTCACTGTTGAAAACATATTTATTAAATTATTTGGTTAATATTGTTAAATTTAAATTCTAAATAATTTTATAAAATATCAAAACAATCAAATAAAATTTTGTGTAAATTAAATTATTAAATTAATATTGTAGGTGGAAACATGAAACCTATTAAATAAATTGAAACATAAATACATAACTTTAAAAGCAGTTTTAAATCCTAAAAAGTGTCGATACTTTTAAAAATATATCGATCCAAAACATTATACCAGGTAAATATGATAAAACCGGTAACAAAATGATAAAACCGGTAAATTTAAAAGTGTCGATACGTTATATAAGGATCGACACTTTGTGAATTTAAAAGAGAAGCAGTTATAGCGCCTATAATGTGTCGATACTTTAAAAAATATATCGATCCACAACGATATAACAGGTAAAAATATGAAAAACCGGTATCAAAATGATAAAACCGGTAAAAATGATACCGGATATATGAAAGTGTCGATACTTTCGTAAGTACGTGTAATAAATTATCGACACTTTCAAAGAAATAGGTAATTATCCTTTCGAAAGTATCGACACCTGACTAAAAGTATCGACACTTTTGTATTTGTATCGATTAAATATAAATAACATATCGATGAAAATATAAAGGCCATAGCTAAATATCCTCTGAAAAAAGATAGAACGGACGAGTTTTTGAAATCGAAGAGTAATTGTTGCTGCATTTCAGAAGGCGTTTCTAAAGCGAAGTTTGTTTGTTTGTTGCTGCAGTCGAATCGAAAAGTATGTTGTCGAAACCCTAATTTTTTATTATTACAGTAATCGCGATAGGGTTTTTTATGTGTTGTTTGGGGTTTTGGAGTAAGGAAGCATTTGGGACCGATTGCAGTAGAAATAGATATTCAAGGAAAAATATAAATGTCGATACTTTTATTAATATTATAGGTAGAAAATGATATATAGGTTGTATAATGTGCCGACACATTTTGGTGTGGCCATTCAAATTCTTTTGAAGAAAACCGTTTTACCACAAGAGTAGTTATCTATTTGTATATTGAAAAGTGTATGTAACAAAATAATTTGATTTGCGTAAACTGATATATGAAGGAAAAATGGAGTCAATGGTTGGAAAATTGTTGGTGGAGCAGATGACTTTGAAATTGAGGCCGAGACTCGAAAGCAACCAAGGGTGGATATATGTACTTCTAGTAAGTATCAATGTCTTTTGTTATTATTGTTGAAATGGTAATTGGATTAAAGTATCGATAAACTTTAAATTGATTACAAATTTTAAATGTTAACAGTATGGCCGAATGCAAAAGGATGAAGGGAGATGGCACACAGAGCGGTTCGGTATGTAAAATGAAATTGACATTGAGTAGTTTAGTATTTAGTGTTAATGTATTGATTAAGAAACGTTTATGTTAATATTAGGTGAAAAAAGATGTGAGGTCCAAATGGAATTCAATGAGTGATGCTGAAAAGGAACCTTACATCACACAGTCAAGGAATGATAGTAAGAATACAAAGAACGAGGAAAGCACATGAAATAAGGTATTCATTAAACTTGTAAATACGTTGATACAAAATATATAAGAACTATAACATTATATATTGTTAAAAAATGTAGGAAGTGTCGACAAGATGCAGCATTAAAAGGGTGAATTTATTAATTAAACACCTTAAGGAGAAGGGTCAGTTGAATGTGCTGGGAGAAATAGGTTTTGGATCGTTGATCGGAGTAAGGGATCGACCTATTCGGAGGGAATTGTGTCGATCCTTGATGGCACAATTTGACGTCAGTCAATGTATGGCTAAGTATGGTGATTATTCATTCCCTCTGGGGGTATCGACTGCTGCAGCCGTATTGGGGGTACAAAACAAAGGCAAAAGTGTTATAGAAGTCTGTAGGAGTAAGAACTGGAAAGCACTTGCCTCCAAATATGGTTTCATAAGGTGACATATACTGAAGTTGAAGAGGATATCAAAAGTGGATCTTACTTGGGGATGAGCTGAAGGCCCGAGTTCTATTGTACCTTGTCGGGATATTTCTTTGTCCAACGGGTGATACGTCAACGAACAAGGAATATATGAGCTCATTTGCGATGAAGGCTTGAAGGGTGAATTCAATTGGGCTGAATATATCCATTCGAGATTGATTGAATCAATAATCACCTTTAAAAAGGGCAGCCAGAGATACCTCAAAGGGTGCATAGCAATCTTAGAGGTAAATGAGTTGAATCACTTTTTTGTGTTTTTATATAAAAATATAAATTTATTATAAATGCAGGTTGCACTGTTCGATTTTTGGTCGGGCTGTGAGGCAGTGCGGCTTATGAAAGAACCGGAGTGGCACGCATCCGTGCATGGGGGAAGGAAGAGGTGGTTAGAGTGATGGTGAAGTTGAAGTTGGATAGAGGGAAGAAGCAAGAAATGGTAATAAATGTAATTAAATAATATTAAGAATATAATCAATGTCTTAATATTGTAATTTAATTTTTTGAAGGTTATTGGCAAGGATGTAGAGGAGGCAGTGGAGGCAGAGGAGAAGAAAGGAGGGATGGTTGTATTGGGGGATGAAGGTGAGTGGGACGACGGTGAAGCAAACAGAGTAACTTCGACATTTGATGTCTGAATTGGCTGATATCAAAAAAATCCAATTTGAAATCATGCAAAGACAATCAAGAGTCGAAGAGAAACTTGATCAAGTCGTAGAGAAACTCGAGAGAGTCGAAGATACACTCGAGAGGCATAAGGGGGTAGTGGAAGGAAAAATAGATGGAGTGGTGAAAGAAGTAGAGGTGTTGAGGGGTGAAGTGGTGAAAGAAGTTGGGGTGTTAAGGGGTGATATTAAGATGGTGACGGGAGAAAAATTTGAGGGAGTGGTGAAGGAGGTTGATTTGAGGAGTGAACTTACGGGGTGAAGGGGGAGGAGGAAGGAAGTCGATGTCATTTATACACCGGAGAGTGTTATAGCGCAGTTTTGGATTCGGAATGTCCTGCACCCCAGAAGAAGAAGCAGAAGGTAAGTTTAATAAAAGAATACTTAATTTGATTTTTATTATGTTGTTGTGACAAAAATTTGTATGCAAAATTGTAGGTTGAAAAAGCGGATATTCCAACCGGAATTGATGACATCGAAGCTGCAATTTGTGATTTTTATGGAATAGCGAGTTAGAATCGGGGTAATGAAATATATTGTTTTGTGAGTGATATTTAAATATTTCATGACAAGATATTAATCCTAATGATTCATACAGATATTCTGTAATATCAATGGGAAATCAATTCGCTACTGTATACGACGTTGCAACGTTGAAGCCTACGGAATGGGTTGGGCGGTGTGGTAAGTAGAAAGTAGAAATAAATAAAACTTATTGAATATGTTCTGATTGTGTAATTAATTTTGTTAGGTTATCGATTTGCTCGCCTGGACCATATGCACGATTCTCAAAAGTCACACCGGAGGATTGGCTACCTTCCATACCTCTTAGTGGTGAGTTAAATTAATAAATGAAAAGTAGTGTTATAGACGGTAAATTAATAATGTTTGTTGCGTAATTACAGCAACAGGCGTTGTAAGCCAACAACAAAGAAGTGTTGAGAATATTTCTACCTTCTGGGGGTCATATTGGATAACTATGTGAAATTCACCGACTGTGAGAAGGTAGACACCATACCAATTGCAAATGATGTTTTCGGATATAGAATGTTGAATTTTGTCAAATTGGGTGTGAAATTTGTTGCAGATAATGATCACAATAAACTACCATAATTCACATTGGTATCTGTTGGTGTTGGATATGGTAGATCATGTTGTACAATATATGATATGTTTACAACTGAAGCAGCTAAACAGAGAGTGAAGGATGCTAAGAGATTGGTATGTATGTATGTATGAAAGGACATTATGTAAATTATAATGCATAATTTTTTGGTGCATAACTTCTTCTATTTTAATGCAGATTAAAATATTAGATTCTTATAATAAGAAACGCATTTGGGTTGAGTCATGTGGATCTCTAGGAAAGTATCCCTTGAAAAATTTCAAATTGTGGAGCATAAGAAGAATAAGCAATTGAATGGGTATGAGATGTTATCACAAATAGAAAGCTTAATTTATGCAGTATTCATCATAATTGACATGTGTGGTTTTCAAATTTTGTAACAGATATGATTGCGGCATGTATGTGATGATGTGGATGGAATCGATCGGTTCTACAGGGGCAACTGGTGATTTTGTATGTGATGATAAATATGCATTTAGTTTTAAATCCACATTTACATCTTGGGGTTGGCTTGAATTCCTTGGTGTAGAACCAAGATATTATCCCAACCTAGTTAGAGTCTTCTACAACAATGCTTCCTTACAGCACGAGCCTAATAGACTATATAATAGGAATTAACACATGTCATGGGGAAGGAATATATATATATATCTCCAAAACTATGCGGAGGGTTTAGGTGTAGCGAATACAGGGATTCAGATGAAAATGTGTGTATTGGTCTACAATTAAACGGGTTACTAGAAATAGCCCAATTCACCTCGATGTAGAGTCGAGAGTGTTTCACAAAATGCTCACATGGTATATCCGGCCTAGTGGGGGAAAACATTCAACGCTTCGAGACAGCGATTATTGGTGGATAGCAAAGTATAAATCCAAAACGGCTCCAAACATTGCAAAACTCATATTTAATACAATTGTATATATGGTCACAAAGGGAGCAACAATTTCAACTACACTACCATATGGATGTGTTCATCACCCATCTGTTGAAGAAGAAGGAAGTTGATTTTTCGCATGACGCCCCTGTTCGATTAACCCGCAAGATTGACATGGTATTATTAAAAAAGCGGATATGATTTTGTTGAAAAACTCGGTTGGAAGCGTGTCAAGGAGGTCGGATTAGATCAAGAGAGGGAGGAAATGGACCCCATTGGCCATGAAGAAGAGCAACCAAGTGGAGACGCAATGATGGAAGAAGCTCCAGTTGCAGAGGATGTCACAATTAAGACCGTGAGGAATACATGGTCAATTTTCGGGAGCATATTGATTCCCTTGTGCATTGCAACGTGAAGTCTCCATGTTGCGTAACGAATTTAGTCAACGACATCAAACGAGTTAGGTAATTCATTATCTATGTTTCTTAACATTTACACGTTCTGAACTTTATTTTATTTTCTTTTAACAGATGTGGACAACCAAGCGGTCACAGAAGATGAAGCTGACGATGAAGATGACGATGATGATGATGATGACGATGAAGCTGGCGATGAAGATGATGACGATGATGATGATGATGATGAAGATGATGATCCAAACAAGTATATCGTGTCTGCAACGCCGCCTTCAAGAAAACTTTTAATTTTTGATCTCAATGGTGTCCTTGCCTACATCCCAAGACTGTCGGCAGGTTTTAATTCTATTCTTTTGTATCCATTATTTTAACATATAAGCGTAGAACTTTAATCTCATTTTCTTCATGTTGTAGATGTTGTCCTCAGAAGAGGATTATTTGAATTTATGCAATTTTGTGTCGACAATTTTGTTGTTGCCCTTTGGTCTTCAAAGATGAGGTTAGAACATGTTTGAGGCAATTGAATTACTGTAGTCAAAATCGTTAATATACATTTGAATGTTAACATTCAAACTTGATTACAATCTCAGGCATAACGTCGACCGTGTACTTGAGAACTACCTGTATTTTCCGAGCATTTTCTATTCGTGTGGGTAAGATGAATGTCATTACAGTTTGCTGACTTTTCGTTGTCTATGATTCCTACATATTTATGTTCGACTGTTTGTGAACAGGATCAAAAAAAAATGCAAAACATACGATTCTGTTACCTACTGTAAAGACTCAATGATGTTTGGAACGCGTGTCCAGATTTTAACGAGCTAAATACACTTTTGGTCGATGATTCAGCGGAAAAAATGATTTATAATCCGGTAAGTTGCATTTATGCAATATGTTTTTCCAGTTGAACAGGTGTTCAGACATTGATTATTTAACAACTTATGTGTTTATATAGAAATACAATTACATATGTCCACATACCTTTGACGCTGCTTCCCATTCGAACGACAAAGCTCTAGGTATGACACAAATTTATTCATGCTTATGCGAATTTAATTTATTGTTAGTAAAATTGCACCTCATTAGTTTGATAATTGAAATTATTTATGTATGTCCTCAGAAAAAGGCAGAAACATACGAGAGTATTTGGAAAATTTGTTGAAGGCCTCTAATGTTCCGGACTTCGTTAGAAACAACCCTTTTTCATCGGATTAATTTTGTTTGTCGGTACATTATTTGAACATTCTTGTGTATTTATATTTTGGTGTGATTATATTGTGTGTATTTTTCATTAATTATTCCATATTTGCTTCTATGTGTACATATACATTTGAGTGTCTATACTTTTTTAATATATTGTAAAGTATCTATCCTTTTTATAAAAGTGTCTATACTTTTTTCACTGTGGAAAACATTAATTTAAGGTTATCTTTTGAGTGAGTTTTAAGATATTAATTTAGTAATTATAGGCGTCTAATGATTAATTTTTTACGTTACGGTATATATTATTATTAAATTAAAAATTCTTAATATTATTTTATAAAATATCAAAACAATCAACTAATTTTTTGTGCAAATGAAATTATTAAATTAATATTGTAGGTGGAAAACATGAAACATAGTTAAAAAATATTGAAACATAAATTACATATCTTTAAAAAAGTATCGATCCTTTTTATAAAAAGTATGGACACTTTCAACATATTATAATAAATAGGTAAATTGCAATATAACCGGTATAAATATACCGGTCTTATGCGCGAATAGGTCTACAACCTATATCGACACTTTTTAATATTGTGTCGGTACTTTATGTCCATATTGGAAGAAAAATGTGTCGATACGATTTAAAAAAGTGTCGACATTTTACACATCGGAACCCATATTATAATGTAATAGATAATTTTGTAATATAACCGGTATAAATATACCGGTTTTATGAGCGAATAGGTCTACAACCTATATCGACACTTTATAATATTTTGTCGGTACTTTATATCCAGATTGGAATAAAAATGTGTCGATACGATTTAAAAAAGTGTCGACATTTTACACATCGGAACCCATAATTATAATGTAATAGATAATTTTGTAATATAACCGGTATAAATATACCGGTTTTATGAGCGAATAGGTCTACAACCTATATCGACACTTTATAATATTGTGTCGGTACTTTATGTCCAGATTGGAATAAAAATGTGTCGATACGATTTAAAAAAGTGTCGACATTTTACACATCGGAACCCATAATTATAATGTAATAGATAATTTTGTAATATAACCGTATAAATATACCGGTTTTATGAGCGAATAGGTCTACAACCTATATCGACACTTTATAATATGTGTCGGTACTTTATGTCCAGATTGGAATAAAAATGTGTCGATACCATTTAAAAAAGTGTCGGTAATTTGAAGTAACGCGGTTTTTCTTCCTTCATTCAAATATTATATGTACATACAATAGGAGTCATGTTGATACTTACGATATATATATGAGATCGTTGTCATTCCATTCCGTCTTCGAAAAAATCAGTTGATGTAGGCTGTGTGCTTGTACTCAAACTAAGCTTGACTTGAGGACATGTTAGTTTGTTATGCCCCTCACCGTTGCAGTACCCACATCGCCTAATTTTCTTCTCGACCTTGTTCTTCGGCACTTCTTTTCGCTTGCGTTGTTTTCGTTGAGGGTCACGAACATTGTTTACTACAATGCTCTGGTTGACTGAATGATTCAACCAAACGAGTTTTCTAATTCTTCTATTTTTTTTTCATCTCTCTCTTGCGGTTTTGAAAGACTCGTCTGTCTTTGATGCAATGTAGCATAACCTACTTGACGTTGAACGTAGAGCAGCGAACCTTGCCATTTGCATCACTTCTGGAGACACATTCAAATCAACATAGCTGGGTGCAGAAGCCTTCGCATCATTAGTCCACCTACTTTGAATCAAAGTCCCGGGCAAATATGTAGTCCAATTGCTTCAAAATGTGAAGTTGATGGCGACACGGAAGTCCAACGGTCTCGAATTTTTTGCAGGAGCAAATTAGAGTTTTCGTACGAGAATCAAAACTAATTTCAAATTTCCTATTTTTTTCTGCGTACTTTGACAAAATATAATGTTGACATTCATCTGATAAGGACTTAATCTCTGCCTCAATCCGGTACAATGTCTCCCGTATAAGTTCATCTTGGAACACACGAAAAGATTCGCGGGTAAAAATCGCAGCGGCATGGCTTTCAAGGTCGACCAGTTTTTGTGATCTGGAAGGGCTTCGTATGGGAACTTAAGTAATCCACTTTCAACTCGTTCATACGCATTCTACTAATTCCATCTTCAATTGCACGAACAACATCTAAATATGTCTTCTTGTGTTTCAGTGCAATAGCTAGTGAAGCATTCATAGACTCGCACCTTTGTGTTGAGCGAAATTGGCAAAGAAATGACCGGTTAGATATGCTTGTGCCCATAAGTGTCGTGTATTTCCCTTCTCAATCACCCATGGATGCTTTTGGACGTTGAATTCTGAAACAATCGAACGCCATTGAATATCAAATTCCTTGGTTGTCCACCAGGAAGCCATGCATTTTGAGAATGCTGCTGTAAACTTTAGGTCACCAATGTTAGCTTGTGCATTGCGAGAAAGATGCCAAGAACATAATCTGTGCTTAGCATAAGGGATAACAGATTTGATAGCCCTCTGCATTGCCCTATCCCCATCGGTTCAACAGAAATAGGTGATTTATTCATCATGGCTTCTAAAAAATTCTGTAGCACCCACTCGAAAGATTGAGACGTTTCGTCAGCGATTATGGCAGTGGCAAACACAATTGTTTATGGTGATGATTGACACCAACAATAGGCATAATTGGTCGACCATACAAATTATCTTT